TAGTTTCCATTCCTATTCCATAAATTAATTACAGGTGGCATCTTTTACCAAGTGCATCTTATTACTGTTATAAATAACGAAAATATTCAACGATCGTTTTGCAATTTCATCATATATATTTTGGTTTTGAGATAACGTCGAAAAGATGATAAAAACCCTGTTAGGCGCATTTACTAAAGCCCAATGTGGAATTTGGTCATGAAATATATTAGTACCCATTTATTTTATTGGGCCTTAATTTAAAAGACAGAGGCAGCCTTTACTGGATCTAGCTTCACGAGCTGTTAATATATTTGTTCGGAACCTTCGTATTGTTATTTTAGTAAGCCTCGAATTGATCTAATTCTCTCAAATATATATATATAATTATAACAAAATCTCTTATTAATACTATGACGTGAGTACGTGACTATAGATATTTCTTAATATCGTCGTGTTTTTTTCTTTCTTTTATCTTGTCGTGGATACTTGTCGAGTATGTGCATGAATAACGCTATCATCAATCATCACGAGTATAAACAAAATCAAAAATAAGAGAAAAAGAGAGCAATATACGTTGAATGTGTGCGAACCTTAGAGACACACTGGATGAAACTGAAATGGAGACCCATTTTAATACTATCTATTCGGTATATGTAAATTAAACAATAATGAGAGAATATGGCATGGAGCCCATGCTTTGATGTCTTATTGTGCTCCCATGTCTATTTCTCTACGAACCTTCCATTTCGATGTAAAGGTTTGTATTCGTTTTGATATCTCTTCTTTTCTTATAATTTGTTATTTTAAAGCAAAGAAACGAAAAAAAAAATGAAGTCGTTTTGAAAGATATGATTTGGACCCATGCATGTTTATTCTACTATATATGCTTCCTACCGACAAACACAAACTAAATTGCTTCGCCTTTATCACGCCAAGAATCGTTAGTTTAGGTGTCCTTTTTCATGTGTTAATTATAAACCCTCTACTATTTATCTGTGAGTTGAAGTTTGGAAAAATGTTTTTTAATTTCCATGATCGTGATCGTTTGCATACGAAAATTACGCGGATCTTGATGATAAGACAAATTTAAATGTTAATTGTTTAAGTCAAGTGAGATGTAAAAAGTACAACTTAACAGTATAATCCAGTCAGAATGTTGTTTCAAATTAAGTACGATTTAGTTAAGCACTCATCTAATCAGACTACAAATATTTGTAGTTTTATTAAAAATTGGTTACATCAGATCAAACAAAAACAAGCTAAACGAACTAACTAAATACCAGTATAAAATATATATTAGTAAAGTACATTGGTCTGTTGAAGTTGTATTAATTCAGATTCGTAAAAACGTGAGCTGTTTCCCTGTTATACAAAAGTACAATTCAAACAGAATTTTACTAGAAACCAAAAAGTACAATTCATATGACTAATTAAATAATATTACTACCTGAACCTATATATAAGGTTTGTTTTCTTTGCTATTTAAGTGACTACTAATGAGTTATTCGATGTGAAGGATTCAAATACATTATATGAACACTGGATTTGAAGAGTAATTTATTCATATATAATAAACCTAAAAAAAAACAGTTATCTGTTACATAAATGCAAATGTTAATCAGAATACCAGAATTAACTTTATAGACGTTGTATGTAAGCTAGGCGTATTTTATTTGAGGCCAATCAAAAAATTACTACATTTCCCTTAAACAAAATGTTGATTTCTACGACATATGGTATAGTATTACATTTATTATATAAATACTTAAAATTTTTTCAAAACTGAATAATATAACATTCGATATTTTTTTTTTAAAACAGTATTTATTTTGTCTAGGTATAAATGCACACGGCACACCTAATCAAAGAAAGAGATGAAATTAAATAAAAAAGATGAGTCCACCATACACATGCATAGTAGAGTAGCCGCATGAGCTTTTTAGGCTTTGACCCCAAAAACCAAAGTCTTTAAAAACGGATTTGACGACAAAACCATTTAGGTAGCTTCTTGTCTACATACTCTACTGCTAATCTAAAACCCTAAAAGAGTAATGAAAAGAAAGAACCTATCAATAATATAATACTCTCTCATCATCTTCTCACCTATCATGTCGACACTCTTCATGGGGTCCTTCGTCCTCCCCTCTCACGCCACCCAAAGTCCTTCTTTTTTCACCACATCTTACCCAAATTTACCTTTTTACCCACTCTCCTTGTTCCCAATGTTTTGTTTCTTTTTCTGGCTAATTATTACTACCAGCGAATTAGTGTATTGTAGTATTTCTCAATTGCTTTATAGGGAATCCAAAATATATTTTTTGTCAATCTGTACCCAATAATTGAAATATGTCAAAACTCTCAAAGAAAACATATATACCAATTTCAGTTTTGGCCGCAACTACTATACACAATTTCAATTTCGAATTAGGGTTTTCCCTGCTGTTATATTGGTGGCCGGTTCTTAATTTTTGCATGCGTTTTATAATTTGTATATTACACATTTACACGTTTTTAAAAATATTTTTCCTTAGCTAGAAGGGTTTTTCTAATATTTTATTTCATAAACTTAAATAAATAGTTCTGACAACACCACGCTCCTCCCTCCTCTGCTTACTATGATTTCCGATATTAGTTAATTAGTTAATAATTATATAAAAATATTTACTATTATTACTCTCACTGAAAACGAAACGCGTCCATATCGTCTTATATGTTTCTGCATAAGACAAAGATTTATTTCTTTTGAGTTTGTTATTACATCAATAATCATCTACTTAAGACATATCCAGAGCTTATTTTCTAGTAATATCGAATGATTAGTAAATGCGAGTACGTTTGCTACAGTGATTAAAAAAAATTAATTTTAAAGTGACGCGATTAAAGTATCGATGAATAAAGTAGTTATTCAAAATAATGACAAAAAGTTATCCTTCGATATTGTTTAGGTTTTTACGGGTGTGGTATAGTTGAATCATGTAACCGTAGAAAATAAAAATGTATACAGAATAGTGTAGCTTATATAACTGGTCATTACAGAAATCATATCCATAACCGTAAGTACATACTTGAACAATGAAAATCATAAACACATGTACTATGTGAAGCATATATTTTGGTCCATGAGACATATCACTGTTACTTTGTAGACCATCAAGAAGTGTAAAATATTCGGATACTTTATGATTTTAAAAAGTCTGCATCCGTTTCCCAAAAATGCCTTGGTTGCGTAAAATAATTGGTTTTATCATGTTTAGTTTTGTTTATTTATCATTGGTTTTGTAAGCCGAGGGGGATATAGGTCGTAACCTATGCGAAAGAGTAGACTAAGAAACGTACAAAAGGTAGCCCGCAAAAATTTATGTAAAACGATGTACTTAACTAACAACCATTCGATATTAAAAACTGTAAAATCTTTTTATAACCTTTCTACGATTAATAATCTCGTTAATAAACATTACAAAAACTGAAGTGAGTCAAAAGAAAACACGAGAGAAATTAGGGGCAGATCCAGCATAATATTTTAATGGATGCAAAATGTAGCTATAAAGAATCGAAGCAGCAATCACAAGCTATTAATGAATACAGTTTTAACCACTTTGCCATTACAACATTATTGTTTACTACTAAAATTTCTTTAATTTATACGTTACTGGGGGCAAATGCCACCACCATCCATCACCTAGGTCCGCCCCTGAGAGAAATCGTTGTACTTAATTTGGTCGATACAGGGCCATAGTATTAGCCTAGGTAACTAAATGACTTAATTTGAGTACTTAATTTTATTTACATCATCGATGCATGGACACCACTTGTGACTTTATGTGAGTTAGTATCTTTTTAGGACATTTACGCAAAAGCTTTAACTAACATATACGTTTCTTGTTGGATGGTATTGGTAGCGACGCTTACTAAAACAACTTCAATCCAGCAATATTAATGAGCAACGAAAGCAAAATCTACGTCCAAACAACTTTTTAGATTACGTTAAATTCATATGATAGGCGTTTGATGTAATATATACTCAAGATACATAGGATCAAGAATATAAGAAAAATGGCCCATCCAGTGTATTGCTATAACTTAAATCATCGGGGAGACGACCAAGAAGAGATGGTCCAAAAATATCATTGGAACCACGTGAATCTTGATAAATATTTGGTACTCCACTCAATACTATTATTTATTATCTGAATAGGACAATTCTATTATTTGTTTCCTATACTAAAAATCTCACTAAAAGCGTGACTGTATTTGTGTAATACATATACTGCAAAATCTCACTTAAAGTTTTCGTACCCTTTGTTTCCTTCTGCAAATTCTGGTTCAAAAAAGCTTTAACAAAAATCACAACGATTTTAAATTTATATCTCAATATGAATTAAGTGTTCTATTCAGAAGTAAATGTATTGCTTTGTTTAACCACAATGATCCTTATAAGTTATAATAATTCTCCACAGGGTTACAGCTAGTTTCACCTTTTTGTAACAACGTTGCAGCTAATTTTTTCCCAAAATGCAAACATATCACAAGAAAAGGAAATTAGTAAAAACTAAAAACAGTAACCTCGATAAAGAAATCGCCTACAATTTTGGAAATATCCCAATACTGCAAATAAAACACAAAGTAGCCTACGATTTTTTCTTTTCTTAATAGAGAAACTACGACCATTACACTTACTTAAATGGTTTAGCTTGGGACCATAATGTAATAATCAACGTCGATTAATACACATAATTAAATTACTTTTACTACTAAGTGTAAAGGAGGAACCAGTTGGAAGCTAAGTCTTGTGTTGTACCTTTAAAGCAAGAAAAGAAACTTTATAAAAAAAAACAAACAAACAAGAAGAATTAAAAAGCAAAATTAATAATGAAAAAAGCATGGATAAATATGTTGTAACATGTCCGAGATCCGGATTGTGTTTTTAGGTACACCATTCTTGTCTCCTCCCAAAGCTTCATCTCTCCTTTCCCAATTATTATTATTTCTTTAAAAAAATTCTCTTTCAAGAAAAAGAAAAAAAAAAAGATAAACAAGAAAAAACTAAAACTTACGCCTCGTTCTTCTCCCTCTGTCTCTCTCTCTCTCTCTCTCTCTCTCTTCTGAGCTTAGCTCTAGCTTTCTTCCTCCCATGGCAACTATCTCTCAAGTCATTATCTAACTTTTCCTTTTAGTTCCTTTTTTCTCTTCCTAAATCACTGCTTCTTCTTATGGATATTGGTGTTCATGTTCTTGGGTCGGTTACTAGTAATGAAAACGGTTCACCGGGTCAAAAAGAACTCAAGGGAACTAAACAAGACAGATCCGGTTTCAACGGTGATGATTACTTGCAACGAAGCTTGAAGCTAGCTAGAACAACTACTACTAGAGATCAGGAAGAAGAGAACTTGTCTTCATCTTTCTCAGCTGCTTACAGCAAAACGATGCCGTTTCACCAAGGCATTCCTCTGATAAGATCTGCTTCTCCTCTTTCCTCTGATTCTCGCCGGCAAGAACAAATGCTTAGCTTCTGTGATAAACCAGAAGCTCTTGATTTCAGTAAATATGTCGGTTTGGATAGTAACAGTAATAACAAGAGCTCTCCTCTCTCGCCGTTTCTTCCTCCACCTTCTTACATTAGAACCTCAGGTCCGATAATGTCTTTGTATTTGGTGCAAAAATCTCAAATTTTGGTTCTTTTTTCTAAATAGAAACATTTTTTAATTGTGGAATGCAGGAGGATATGGTTCTGGTGGAATGATGATGAACATGAGCATGCAAGGGAACTTCACAGGTGTTAAAGGTCCTTTCACATTGACTCAATGGGCTGAGTTAGAGCAACAAGCGTTGATCTATAAGTATATTACAGCCAATGTCCCTGTTCCTTCTAGTTTGCTCATCTCTATCAAGAAGTCTTTTTATCCTTATGGATCTTTGCCTCCTAGTTCTTGTAAGCTTCATTTCTTTTATACCGTTTCTAGTTCCACATACCTTGCCATTGATGATCATGTGCTTTGCCAAAGTTTTGGGAATTTGATCAAGTCTTTTGTGGTGTGGTTGCATAATCCAAGAATCAGTTTTTTAAAGTATTTGATGTCATTTGGTGCCAACTCCTTTATAACATTGCTATAAGGGTTTTAAAGATTTGTTGCCAATGGGGTGTGTTCTTAAATGGTCATTTGTGTTGAAAAGTCTATACAACATTGATTGCTTTTTAGTAGATTTTGTTTCAATGGTTTTAATGAGTATGTATGTATATCTCTGGCTTTGTGTGCAGTCGGATGGGGAACTTTCCATCTCGGTTTCGCAGGCGGTAACATGGATCCTGAACCAGGGAGATGTCGTAGAACAGATGGGAAGAAATGGCGGTGCTCAAGAGACGCTGTTCCTGATCAGAAATACTGCGAAAGACACATCAACAGAGGCCGTCATCGTTCAAGAAAGCCTGTGGAAGTCCAATCTGGCCAAACCGCCACTGCCACTGCAGCTTCCAAAGCGGTTACTACACCGCAACAGCCTGTGGTCGCTGGTAATAGTAACAAGAGCAATTCTCGTAGTAGTAACCGAAGCCTTGCCATTGGAGGTCAATATATCAATCCTTCTACAGAGTCTCTACCTAACAACAGGTGAGGAAACATATCTTTTGATACTTTCCATATTCGTCAGGTTTTTGTTCCTATCTCACTCACTGATTCTTGCGAAACAGAGTTCGAAATCCGCAAGGAGTTCCGATATATCCTTCCACAGTCAATTTGCAACCCAAGGAAGCTCCTGTTGTTCATCAGAAACAAAGAAACAACCGCAACCCTTTTGAGTTTGGACACATATCTTCTGATTCATTACTCAACCCCAATGCAAATACCGAAAGAACCTATGGATCATCGTACGTTGATTTCAGCAGCAATCAAGACAACCATACAGGGAACCACAATCACAATTCTTGGCCTGAAGAGGTGAAATCAGATTGGACACAGCTTTCCATGTCAATTCCAATCGCATCATCATCTCCTTCTTCCTCACACAACAACAATGCTCAAGACAAAACCACGCTCTCGCCTCTCAGGCTATCGCGCGAGTTTGATCTTTCGATTCAGACCGAGGAAACAACATTCGAGCCAGCTGCCAAAAAGGTGAATACTTGGATACCAATCTCATGGGGAAACTCCTTAGGAGGTCCTCTAGGTGAAGTACTAAACAGCACAACGAATAGCCCAACATTAGGATCTTCTCCTACAGGGGTTTTGCAAAAGTCTACATTTTGTTCACTCTCTAACAACAGCTCCGTGAGCAGCCCCATCGCTGAGAACAACAGAAACAGTGGTGACTATTTTCATTACACAACAACCTGAAAACTCGAAACTAGTCCTGACGCGGAAACAAAACAAAAAAAAAAGCTCTGTTTTTTCTCTTTCTCTTATGTTTCTCTGTTTTGTCTTCTAAGAGGAAATTAGAAAATCGTTGTTCTTCTGATTCTTTCTACGTTTCCGATTTCTCAATCTGGATTTGTTTGATTGTTACTTAATATAATCACAATCTTGATTCTAATTGTCCTACATCAAAAACAAGACCAAACTAGGGTTATCTTGCTCTTTCATGAAGAGAAGGTTTCAGCCTTTCAGGGTTAACATGCGCTTCAAATGAAACTAGACTTCAAGGTCCTAAAAGCATTGGGCTTTCTGATCCAAGAGTGTGTTTGGGCCGAAATCGATCTTTGTTAACCGTTTAATTAGACTTCGGTTAAGTACGATGATTTAATAATGTAATATACAAATCATTCTTTTTTTAATACAATTATGGGCCTTATGGGCTATGATGTCAATGCGCATAAAGCCTTTCCACTAAGTAATAATATATATCATTGTATTAATTTTATTTATTTATCATACACAAGACGAGTGGGAAAAAAAGAAATCTCTCTTTAATTTTTTTTCTCTTTATCTCATAAAGTTACAATATAGAAAGAAAAGAGAAAGTGGAAAATTAGAAAACTATCTCTTCCTAACGTTTCATTTCATATACATAGAGAGGTAGAGAGACATTGAGAGATTTTTTTTGGCTTCCATCTTTTTTTTTTTTTTTTTTTTCTGGTTATCGTTCTAAATTTTCTATATTAATAATTTTGTTTTCTCCTTAGAGATGCTGGTCGATGATCGAAGATGGGTGGTTTTGTTCAGTCATGATCATTCTCCGGTTATGAAGTTCCCACTGTTGCTGTTGTTGAAGTTGTCTAACGATCAAAACCCGACGCATCTCCGACAATCTCAGCCGGAGAATCTCTTGTTCCGTTACGAGCCGGTTATTGTCCGTATTCACTCGTTGGAGCTGGTGTAAAACTAACCGGAGCCGGTTCCCGAGCTCACGGTTTTCTAAATCGAGACGGTTTACTTGGTTTCTTAAGTTATCGATGTGACTCTGTTTACGCATTCTCGACCGTTTAGCTGATTCCCGGTTTGATTCCATCCTCTTCCTCTTCCGCTCGTCGGTCATCTCCGGTTGGGTTAATTTTTTCCGGTCATGATTCTGCTCTCCCGAACCGAAATTCGTGATGGCTGTCAATTGTTTGTGGTCCTCCGAGCCTGGTTCTTTTGCTAGACCGTCTGATTGGTTGGCGTCGTCAAATCCGGTACAAAATTCATCAGAACCGGTTTTCATGTTATGATTACCGGAATTAGTTCTGACGGAACCGGCGTCGGATTCACCATAACAAGGGGATGGTACGGCCGGTTCAGGTTCAAGAGACAAATGGTCCACGGAAAAGAGATCAGAGCAGTCCCATTCCCAAGAAGTGAACCCGGTTTGGAAACCCGAGAATTGATTAACCAAACCCGGTTCGGAGAATGAAAAGGCCGGTACAGTGGACAACATAATAAAAAAAATTCTAATATAGAGAGATGAGAGAAATTAGAAGGGGAAAAGGGAAGAATTGAATTGTTGGAGGTTCATATTTATAGACAAAACCAAGAAGAATCATTTTGCTCATTTTTGCAAATATACGATGTACGACCGTAGATTATACTGTATAAAACAGCTTTTGAGTCATGTTGCACTATGGTGGGGAAATTTTTATTTCTGTAGATTCAAACTTTTTTAAAAGCATGAAATATTTTGTGGGACACCATAGCTCTAACCCAAAAACAAATAAAAAAAATTTAACATTATTTGAAATTTCAATAACCAAATGTCTGTAATACCTTAGTGATGAAGAAAACATTCCACATTTCACACGTTTTATAAAGTGTATATATATTCAAGAATGAGATATTTTTCTTTATATTACCTAGAAAAAGTTTACCTTTCATATTGAAATAGAATAACTTCCTCTTGAATTGCTTTGTTATAAAATTTAACAAAAACAAAAATATAATTAAATTCATGATATTATATTTATACATTTCAGAAAACGTTCCACGTACGACCATTTGAGATCTTATTCAGTATTTTTTTCGTAAATATGTTTCTAAAAAGAAAATATGGAATGTGAACATATACTAGTTATGATATTGACAGCCACAATATAGTGATTCTGGTTCTTTGTTCTTGCTAAATAAATTTTGGTTCTTTATTTATGTTCACTGTTTAATTATCTTTCTTAAAGAAAAAGGAAAAAAAAAAATTCTTTATTTTATATTTGCCTTCTCAATTTCCTTTTCAACACGGGAACGACACACATTGGAGAGGAGAGGGACTAGAATCATCATTTCATCGGGGGGAAAAAGATAGAAGCGAGAGAGAGAGATGGAGTAAATTAATTAAAACCAAAAAAGAAAGAAAGAATCTAAGGAACACACTTTACAATTTAACTGAACCAAACTGATGCTTTGCATGGGAGATGAGGCCAATGCTTTTTGTAAAGAACCCTATAAGTTAACCTACGACCAAAAAAGTATATTACTTGCTTGCTACACGGAAACATTCATGCTACAAATTATTAATACGTCGACTCTTAAGTATATATAGCAAATTTAGACTTAGATGATTCAACAAAAATACTGATTAAAATCGAGGAAATAGTAATGAAAAAATGTGCTTGATGAGCTTTAAATCACACAAGCCTGAGGTTTCTAATAATATATATTCTTGTTAGCTTATATATGATCAGAAAAATAAAATGTGGAGCAACGGCCACATGCATTTCATACAAAATAAAGCAGAGAGGACAAAAGACGTATATATGATTTGTATACTTAGCTTATTAAATGGCCGAAGCTTTATAAATAGCCAGACTCATGTTTTGGTTCGGTCTCATGCATGTGAAATCAAACTTTAATGTCCAAAGAAAAAGCTTCACGTATTCGCTTTTTCTATGATCCCAATTTCATTTGATCGTAAATAAATCAATATTCCAACACATATATTTACATAGATATGATAGTACGTGAAATTTTTGCGCATCTTAAGTCTATTTATAAGCAAGTTTTAAAAATATAAATTAATGCGTAGTGTAGTAGACAAAAGTTTTCAAGTGGAGGGACCTATATTACTATTGTTAATCACCGAAAAAAGTCATATCGCAGACCGGTCGATGTGCCAAGAGCCAAGCTTGTGCAACCAGCTTTCATGGGCTTATATATGGCCAGTATACGCGTATATATGTACGTAATCGTTTACAATTAATTAAGTCAAGACAAAGTTATGTTCTATGATAATCATTTTATAAAATTCAATTCTATATATTGCGTACGTATAGCTTTTCTTATTCAGGTCGCTCAATTTTAAAATTTTGATACAACGAATTTTCTAAAGTGGAATTACAGACATCTTTATATCAAAAAGAAAATTAACGTCACTATTGTATCAAAGACTATGGAATACAAATACACGCATCATGGGAAATGAAAAAAGTTTATAAGACGGAAAGCACACAGTTACTTGAAAAAATGATGGCATAACTTTAGCTTGAATATTCGTTGAACCTTAAGTCCTTAACACGTAAATATATAATCAGATTATATTATATACATATTTAACCTTTTAGCTTTGCCCAACATAAGTAGACTAGAACTCACTACATTTCAAGTCTATATTGATGACATTTGTAATCCGATCTGTTAATTATTGTCAATAAGAAAAAAACTCTCTTTGACTAGAACATAAAAAGTGGTACAATATAAATCGAAAGACTTGGCATAATAATTAGTGTCGGCTGCTTTATTTGTTTAATTATATAATATTATTGAAGGAAATTCCGTTTGCAAAGAAAAAATAGTCCTCATAAGAAAAAATGTTATCCTCTAAAATTTTTTAGTGATATAATTTGCTTAAATAAACAAGAAAATTATCACAATAATACAAGATTTTGACAATATGACAGAAAAGAGTACGTATGTAATTCACCCATGTGACAGTGACTAATGTACGTAGAAGCATGAAAACAATACATTTTACCAAATGAAAAAAGAAGCATGAATACAATACAAACAACTAAATTAAAAATCCTTATCTAACTTTTTTTAACAACTTTAGAATTGCATTCATATCTCTTTTACATATATGTAGATATACGTACAATTAAAGGATCTTTATCTTAAAAAAAAAAAAAGGATCTTCATCTACAGTTTCTTAGATATAACCCATATAATGGTCATGCGAATCAATAAGAGAAAAAAATATTCTTTACCCTTATGCTAATTAACGAACTTCCCTTTGCTTGAGGAAACCTCTTATCAGTTTCGAATTCGTGTATATTATGGATCTTGTATATATGTATGCAGTATGCTCATTTTCTTATATATATGTCAATTACTTACTTAGCCGACGGCTACCGATTAGGTCATTAATTTTGAATCTTTAATTAAAGTCGACGAGGAAAACTTTAGTACAAAGTTGTATCTTTTATTATTTATATGACTTTTTATAGTAATTGTAATTTAAATGACGCATGTAAAGTTATTAATCACTCAAAAAAGGCCATAAAACGACAAATTACGTGAAATGGTAAAAACCTAACTGTGTCGCTAAATCATATTTGGCAATGGATGTTAACATGCAACACTCTTTCCCTTTAATTCTTCTTTACCAAAATCTGTCGTTTCTATGAAAGTGAGCTGCAAATGTTTTATGTTTATTGACTGATTAATAGGAAAAACGAAAATGAAAGAAGCTATGGATTGCAACAAATAAATAGAATGCTCTTTAAGATAATTTTCGCGAAATCTTTGGATGTACTGAACATATCAAGAAAATTATATACTAATTACTAATTAATTCAACAATTTAACCATATATTTTTCCTAAATTATGTTTCCATGTTTTTGTCGCCTTGTATTGTACGTTCGTCATAACACATATTGTTATGTTATGTGTGGTGTGTGTTTATATATGAGTAAATGGATAGCAATCCACTAATTATGGCTTTTAAGATGTATACTTTTTGTAATCTATATATATGTAATATGTTTGTGGTGGAGTGTTCGTTGAGATTTTTCGCGTGGCGTCATTTGGTACGTCATTAGGTTTCTCCAATTGTATAACTCCAAATATATATATTTCAATATATATGGAATGTATCGTGTGTGTACATGCAATCATGCATATATCATATATGTTTCAAATGTTTACGTGAGTGTAGCTTTTATGTTAACGAGTTTCGAAAGAAGAAAAAAAAAATGCTTTGCAACTTTAAAAATCGATGGATGCTCATGGTATAGACATTACATAGTGGTGGGATGCAATCATGCAAACATGATAGTTGTACTGTGGTGATATGAATCAATAATGATTTATCGTAAGTTTTGTGCGTATATATCTCTCTTTAGGTTTTTTTTCTTTTTGCAAACTATATACATCCATCATTGGCTGAACTGTGCATTGGCCATAGAAAAAAAACAAATATATTCTTTCAGGTTCTGAATTTTAGCTAATAGATTATTGTGTTTTTATTTTTTACGAATAAAGAAGATGGAACAAATGTGCAAATAAAGGAGATGGAACAAATGCGAAAAAAAAAAAAAAAAAAAAGAAACGGACCACCTGTGAAGTTCAAGGTCGTAATGGTGTTTCCTGATTTTCATTGGGCCTTTAAATTGGTGCATTTGGCCCAAAAGAAAGTCATTGGGCCTCACTTTAACGTATCAGGTTAACGTTTTTGAATTTTATTAATTTTTTTTTTGGGGGGGGGGGGGGGGGG